TAAGTGCGTCGACAGGCGCGTAGAGAAACGCATTTGAGACGTCGATTTGGCGAAGGCGGAGATTACGGCAGGCGGCGACAGAAAGCAGAATCCGAACGCTTGTATGTCGGCCGACAGGAGCAAAGGTTAGTTCATAGTCGATGCCGTAAGTCTGCTCGAATCCGCGGACGACCCATCGCGCTTTGAACTTTTCAAACGACCCATCTGCATTAGTCTTGACGCGGAAGACCCATTTTCCGGTAAGTACCTTCTTCCCTTTGACTTCTGAAGTTGGGATTAAATCCCATGTACCACGATTCTTGAGTGCTGCTAGCTCCTTGTCCATGGCTTTGCGCCATTTTTCTCGGTGAGGACTCGTGAGAGCTTGTCGGACGGTTTTCGGTTCAGGTATCTTACTGTCGTTGCGCTGTACTGCTACTGCAAATCCCAGTATCTGCAATCCTGTTTCTGTAAAATGCGGACGATCTTCGTTTGCACCTGCGAAGTTTTCTTCTGGTCCTTCTTCCCCCCCAATTTCGTCAGGTGTAACACGAACTGCTTCGTCGGAGACGACGGGCATCGGCTGCTGTTGGCGATCGCGTTCATAACTGAGACGAACTTCGCGAACATCATCCGGGTCAGCATCTGCAAGAGGAATGAACTCTGGTATGCCAGACGAGGTTACAGGTTCGGGAATGTCAGTTGCGGCAGCTTTGGATGCTTCAGAAACTGCTTCGTCCTGTACATCAGCTTCTGCTTCGTCAGTTGCAAACGCACGCGAGCCTTCGAACAGCCTGGCAGGGTTGGCAGCTGCTGCCTGGTGGGCACGAAAAACGGGCAAGGTGAGTCTTTCATAGAAAAGACAATCACGTGACGGGATGATTTGGTTTGAGCGGAGATCCAAAATCTTCCACGCATGATACTGTTTTTCGATGCCGAGATGTACCCCCCATTTTGCTCGGTCGGAAAATTTTCCGAGTGCTGCGGTTGGAGGACGAAACTGTACAACACACCCAAAAACTCGTAAAAGTTTTGTGCTCCCCATTGTACGTGTCCACTGCAGGTGTGGAGAAGAGAACTCGGGCAGGGACGTTGAAGAAAGAAGATTGTGTAACAGCACGGCGTGGTCCATCGCATACGGCCTAAACTGCGGTGGAAGGGAGCACGCATCTTCTCCAGCAGAGTCCTGCTCATCCTTTCTGCTACCCCCATCTGTTGGTGTGCATGTGGCAGCGACTGCTTCCGTTTGATGCCGAGTGTCTGACGGTAGTCTGTGAAGGTGTTGCTGGTGTACTCCCTTGCACCATCGCACTGAAATTCTTGCAGTTTCACTCCTGACTCTCGTTCAGCGACAGCGAGCCACGCGACGAAGACGGAGTGAGCGAGATGGCGTGCAGGTAAGTTGGCTGTCCAGACATAGCGTGTGGACGCTTCGATGAAGGTGATCACATACTTCTCGTCTTTAGGTCCTGCTTCAGACAAGTTGAGTATGTCGCTGTAGACTTTCTGCATCAGTTTATAACGGGTTGAGCCGGGAAAATGACTTGGAAATGGATCGTGCGTAAGGTTGGCAACTGGACAGGTGGTGCAAACCGTCGGACGAGACTGCGGCTTCATCTCCGTGCCATCAGGTAAAAGTAAACTGTTTTTATCAAGAACTGCTGCTCAGATTGAATGATTTAGAATCCCTTGTGATGGATGCCCTAACCTTTGATGCCATATATCTTCTGTGGTTTTGTGTCCTGATGATCGCAGGTAAAAATCGGTGTTAGTATAAAAGGAAGAAAGAAGAAAAGGAGATAGTGCGGGTGAGCGGTCAACATCTCCTTCAACGAAACGGTTAAGTGGTAACGAAACTGTCGTTGGTGCGACTACAGTTGTAATTGCAACTGCTGATGCTGCTTCTGTTGATGTCGTTGCAGGTGTTTCAGCGACAGCTATTGTTGGACTCGGCTGCTCAACTACTGCTTTTTGTTCTGCTTCTTCAACGATGTCAGATTCATCAGCTGTAAGACCACTTATCTCGCCCCAAAGTGGTGCTGGAGTTCCTTGGAAGGCTGCACGAGTGTTATAAAAGGTGCGGCAAGCGTTGGCACTTTCATCGGCAGTATTAAACTCCCAGGTATCCAACGCGGTAAGTACGGCTGCTGCAGTTCGAGAAGCTGTTGGTACAATTGTTGCTCGAAAGTCAATGTCCACGTGTTGATAGTCTCTTTCTTCTGGGTGATCCCAGGGACCAAGTGCAAGGACGCGTTCAGAATCGCCAGAAGTTCCCTGTGCTGCGAATTGAAGTACCGATACGCCATGTTGAGTGGCGGCACGACCAAGGTAGGTATTAGTTGTACTGTGCCAGAGCTCTTGATCCATCGTCTCACAATTTCCTTGTGTACGGATTTTGTGTGCCAGGAGTTGAGCTGTGGAAAGAAGGTTGAAGCCAAGACCGGCGACGATAAGAACATTCGTAACATGAAGTGAGTATCCCGTGTCGATAGATTCGAGCATGACACTGCCAACTGATCGTGCCATTGTCGTTTGTCCGTTGGCGACTGTGACAGGTATCGGACGACGAAGCGGACGCTGATTGGTGATGAAGCTTGTTTCGGCTGAGCACATGTGCCATCCGCAGCAACTGTCGAGATACCAGGTATTCGGTCCTGAAATTAAACGAGCGAGGTTAGCGTAAACTTGAGGTAAAGGAATGCCTTCAGCACTTGTTGTTTCTTCAAGTCGTGTTTCGAAATCTGTTTCTGAAACATTGTAACACATCTGAAAACTCCTTTTCCTGATGTGGCAGATGCGAAAACCAGAGGGCGCTGCTGCGACGTTGATGAACTCAGCGGCGGTTTCGGTATCTGCTGCTGCTGAGACGTCAACTGCTGCTGTGGCTGTTGTGTCTTCGGTAACTGTTGCGATCGGTGATACGGCTGCGAAGTGCTGCGACATTGATGACGGCTGCGACAGTTTTGGTAAGTATGTCCTGGTTTCTTTCAGAAATGGCAGAACGGATACTTTGGTGGATGTCGATGCTGTTTTTCTGGATTGGAGAAAAAACTTAAATGAACCCCCCTTTTCTGGTTGCGTTGTGACTGCAGGTCAAGATCTTGCTGCTCGGCTTGAAGATAAGAAGAAATTTCAGCTTCGGAGAGGTTGGGATTCATGCGCAGGAAGGCGCGCGTCGGTCGCCATTCGGGTCCAAGTCCAGCCAGAAGGACCGTGAGATACATCTCACGAGGGAAGTATCCCCCACTCTTCTCCAGTTGATCACGTAGTGTACGGACACGGTTAACATAGTCCATGACGTTTTCGTTTGTCATCATCTGCACACTTGTCAGCTGCGAAAGTATTTTACTCACTGTTATCGTATCTTTTGCCATGTATACCCCTTTCAGATGGTTCCATGCAGTTTCGGCTGGTGTGAAACTTGAGTGAAATGATCGAACGCCGAGCTGCTCCTTCGGCGACAAGTTCCGTACAAGAACTGTGTACGCCCCGAGAGAGGCGTGCAAGAAACTCAGCTGCTCCAATTGTGTTCCCACGACAGGATACGTAAACTCGCCAGTGAAGAACGGCCATAGCCCAGCGGACTGCGCCAGAATCTCAAACTCAAAGCTCCAGGAGTAGAAGTCAACACCATTAAAAGGTACGGTTGTCTTGATCTGAGTATTGTTAAGTAGATTTGGAGGCTGAAAAACAATGCCTGGCTGTTGCTGTTGCTGTTGTTGGTGTTGCTGTTGTTGCTGTTGCTGTTGTTGCTGTTGCTGTACTTGCTGTGGTTGCTGATACTGCTGTTGCTGTACTTGCTGTGGTTGCTGAGCAGGAGAACGACCGAAGATATAGAAGGGATGCTGAAACTGCTGCGACTGCGGCTGCTGTACGAAAGGTGAGAAGGCAAACGAACCAGTATTTGGAGCTGTAGCTCCACGCATGTAGCTTGAGCCGTCAAGGCTGATCCCACTTAACGCAGATGAAATTGATTGCGTTGAAAATGGTGGCTGTACTGATGCTTGTTGCTGTGTTGTTGTCTGTGATTGCTGCTGTTGCGTTGCAGGTGCAGTCGATGGAGCACCTGGAGTATTCACAGAAGGCGGATTCTGCATACCGATATTAGCGTAGGCTGGTGGAAAGTGCCCAGAGGCTGAGAGACCAGCGGCGGTAGTGGAGGCATGTGCTCCAGTAGTCCCAGTAACTGATCCAGCAGATGGTGCTGGTGATGAACCAGTCATAGTTGACGATAGTCTTAATTCCAGATAGCTCTCATACCATGAAATAAATCGTTTGTTGTTGTAGTAGACTAAGTATAAAACTATAAACACGAACACTTGGCAAATCCTCAAGTGTTGGTCCAGGATCTTTGCTGGAATGATAGACTAGTAAGACAGCAGAAGTCTTGTAAAATGTAATAGTCAATGTTGAATAACCTGAGTATGTGAACTTGTGGATAATCAAAGTTAATAATGAAAAAGACCTAACAGAGATTTATAGTTCTACGAAAAGTACCTATTCGCTAATGTACCTGTTCGTCACTATCGCGCTATGCGCCCTAGATGATAATGAAGAGGTGCGACTGTTCGCGTGACTGAAACGACTGTCCTATGACGGGCGCTATTTGCTGACGTCATCCTACGGACTTATGTTCTACAGTATGATTCGACACTAACTACATTTAATCGACTTACAGAAATGCTAAGTATCAATTATATCACAACAGTGGTCAAGGCCAGGTTTGTGTTGTGCGGCACCTGCGACCGTCATGATCGCGACAGAATCTGCGACTTCGACGGGAGGATTTCGCTCGGGAGGATTCTGACCGTCAAATCACAACAGAATCCGCGACTTCGACGGTCGAAATCGTCCCGAGTCTCGACCTTTGCTGACGTTTCGATTTCGCGCTGCAACTTGTGTTGATGTTTCTGCCCGTTTTTTCGCTGCTAATGGTAGTTGACATTGCGTTTTTCATCCTACTCGTTTTTTTTTCTCAATCGAGCTGAGCTTGAAAAACTACGAAATACTGTTCTTTGCTGCATAAAACGAGGAGGGTATGTAAAATGCAACCCCCGAAAAGCAGGTGCTCTCCTAAATTCACCCTATCATAAGCTCTCCCCCGCATAAACCACCCGCGGAGTGACTATTTCGGCGGGTGTTATATACGGGGGATTACGGTATATACAAACTCTGTCCTTGTCCTTGTTTCAGCAACCATTCTTTCTCACATCGAAAATAGAACACCAACGTGTCACAACACACTCCATTTCCTACAAATGCGAATCTGCCAAGCACACGTGCGCCTAAACCCTTCAACCCACAACCATCTTCACCGAACTTCCCCAAAAGCGGAAATGCGCGTAATGCTCTTCACATGCCGAAGGCAAGAAGAGCGAGAGCAGCAACAACAGCAGCAGCAGCAGCAGAGAGGCTGACGGCAGCAGCAGAGGGCATGGAAAGGCCAGACGCAGGCTTGGGAGGAGAGGAGGCAGGAGTCTGGGAGGGGGCAGATGGTGCCTGAGGGACTGGTGATGCTGGTGCTACAGTGGGAGCAGACACTGGAGTATGGGGCAAGGGGTCAGGTGCGTAAAGCATGGGACATCACATTAAGAGTAGAGACTGAAGGCTTTTTTAGTAACTGTTTGTAACAAATGGTAACACGTGGCCAGCCGTCCCTGGGTCTGCACGTACTGCTGCATGCAAGTGATCTTACACTTGACGGGCGTGCAGGAGGAGCAGAAGGAGAAGCAGAGGCGGCAGAAGCTGGTGGCATTGCTCTGCTGCACCACACACTTGCTGCCGTCTGCAGGGCAGGTCAGCCCCGAGCCAGAGATGTTCCTGGGAGCGGAGGGAGGGGGAGGGGGCACACAGGTCAAGTGGATTCACTGGGAAGGCGGCACGTTTCAGGAATTTTGCTGAGAGGCGGATTTCTTGAAGTGTTGTCTGTGTAACCAGCATCGGAAAGACATGGGGAGGAAAGGAGAAAGGAGAAGAGAGGAGAGGATAGGAGAGGAGAAGAAAGGATATGAGACGAGACAAGAGGGGAGTAGCGGTGAGGAGAGGAGATGATAGGAGACGGGATAGGAGAAAAAAGCTGAGAGAAGAGGAGAGAGGAGATGAGACGAGGGGATGGAAAGAAGTGTTGGGGCATCAACAAAAAGACATCATGCAGTGGGACTGACAACACCACGGGTTCATGTGTGCATGGCTTTCATGGGTGAATAGGAGCACAGGTGGCATAGGTGGCATGGGTTGCATGGGTACACGGGTGCACTACACACAGGGACGTGAGATTGGCAAGACTCCCCATAATAGCAGGTATGGGGCTACTCAACTTGTTGCCTCCAAGGCCCCTGACATTCCATGCCATGCCAACCCATGCCAAGCAATGCCATCCAAATTATGCCATGTCAGTCCATACCATACCACACCATGCCATGCCACCCGTGCAAGTTGATCTCCCAGTTTGGTACGCATACAGGAAACAGTCCCCCGATGCTGTACTCGCTATGTGGGTGCACAACAATGGATACAAAATGGAAAACGAGCGAAACTATGTGGAATTATAACCCTCCCAGAGTCTCTTCTGCTTCACACGTCCTGCCCTGATGCACGCGTAGGGCAGGGCTGTGCATGGCTTAACAGGGCTGGGCGTGGCTTACAGGAGCTGCAGAGAGGGCAGACGAGCAATGGAGGCAGGCAGGGAGCCGGTGAGCTGGTTGCTGCTGACGTCACTGGCAAGGGCGCAAGACATGGAGAGATTCAGTGGGAGTGAGAGAGGGGCGACTGGGAACAGAGATGGGGTGTTTGGCATTGTGGCATGGGCTCATTTTGAAGAGATTCATGATAGCAGTGATTGATTTTCCAAAGGTGCAAGCGGGCATACAGGTGAAGGATTTTAGAGGACATGAGACGTGTGGGAAGAGTTCCCTGGAACTGGTTGTAGGCCAATGATCTGAGGAGATGGGATGGGGATAGGCGTGAAGACATAGAGCGGAGGGAGGGTGCACACTGAAGCAGGGGGGGGGAGAGGGAGAAAAAGTGGAAGAGGGAGGCTAGGAGGGATGGTGGTGGAAATGGGTGGGGAGAAACAGTGGGGGACTTTGGATAAAAGATAAAACTACCAGAGAAGCCTAGCAGGATGGCTAGGCAGATGTTGCTTCTCTGTCTGTTAGTTGGAATCCCAACTACCACCCACTCACGCCCCCCCTCGCCGATACTGCTGGCCATGCCACCATTGATGCGAGCAGCCCCCCTTGCTATCCCCGAAATCGTCCTGCCCTCCTGTTCCAGTCCCTACCATCCCCACCTAGACATGATCAAAATGCGATTGCGATTTAAATCACATCGCACAGGGGTGCGATTTTAAAAAAATGCGATGCGATCTACAATCGCATCGCGCGATTTAATTTCGTGAAAAAAAAAAAAAAAAAAAAAAAAAAAAAAAAATCGCACATCGCATTTTGGGCGCGATGTTTATTTAAACCGCATGCGATGTTGATTTAAATCGCGCGATGCGATTTAAAATCGCATCGCATTTTACTTAAATTAAAAAACACCTCAGAAAACCGGATAAAAAAAACCAACACTGATGGGAATTTGGATCAAGGGCAGTCGTGGGCGGTAGTTTAGATAAATAATTCGCTTCAGTATTTGGTTTAGGACAGGTGCGAGCCCCCGTGGTATTTCGAAATCGCGCGGGATTTAAAAAAATCGCAAAACGCATTTTAATCGCGATTTTCAACGCGATTAAAACACGATTTAAATAAGACTGCGCGATAAAAAAACATCGCATCGCGCGATGAATAATAATGAGAAAAAATACATCGCAACCGCAAAAACGCGATCAAAAGCGATGCGATGCGATTTAATCTGCCCATGTCTATCCCCACCACCTACCATTTATTGCAATATTTACCCGGTGTGATGGTGTGGACTGTTTGAGAGAGAAGAAAGGGAGCAAAGGAGAGAACGAGGGCGCGGGAGGAGAAAAGAAGGTGAAGAGGGTGAAGGGAGGAGGGAGGGAGGGATACAAACGGGAGAAAGCGATTGAGGGAGGAGGGGGGCAATGGGCGGGGATGGAAGAAAAGATAAATGCACAGGCGGAGACCAAAGACGGCCTTACAGTCCAGACGAGAAGGCACCCACAAGGTTTGGAGCAAGGAGAGGCTGAAGATGCCAGAAAGGACGACTCCACGTTGTGGGACACGTTGCTGATGGGAGCGGAGTCCACGGGTTGGGTTGGGGGGTTCACAGGTTGGGGAGTTCATGGGTTGGGGGGTTCAGAAAGCGCTCAGCACAATGTCAACGTACACAGAATATGCAGATTCGTGTACATTCACAGCCGAGAACAGGAGCAACACAGTAGCCTTGGACATGGTATTTCGAAAGCAGCTGTCATTTCACTTGGCACTAAACCAAATATTCAAATTCGAACCCCCATTACATTCTACCTCTCCTCTATCCCTCCTGAGGCCCCCCTCCTCCCCTCAGCTCACAGATTGTTGACCGATTTGGGCACAGCAGCAGGCATGGGACCACTGAGTTGGTTGTAGGAGAGATCCCTGGAGACCGGTAGAATTAAAAGAGACGGAGAGTTTTAACAAAAGAAGCAAAATTAAGGGAAAGCGGCAGCCAGATGTTAGAGGGCGGGGGATAGGTGGCGATAGGGTTGAGCAAACTACCCGACCGGGTCGGGTACCCGGTACCCGGACCCGCTTTTAGGGCGGGTCGGGTATTTGAAATCCTGTAAAATACCCGGCGGGTCGGGTCCGGGTTACCCGGGCGGGTATTTGATACCCGCTACCCGAATTTCTACCCGACGATGCGGGTAGCGGGTACCCGCCGGGTCGGGTATTACATACCCGAGTTCGGGTAAATACCCGAAGTCGGGTCGGGTATACCCGACCCGAAATCGGGTCGCGCTGCTACCCGTCGGCAGCAGCGCGACCTAAATTGCGGGGGGTTGGAAATTTCGATCATTTGGTCGAAATTTCCAACCCAACTTTCCAGATCTAGTTTCGTTTCGTCCCTACCATAGACGCGCCACCTTAATACAGCACCCGCATTAGTCTAAACACTCCCCGCATCCTAAACGTGTTCTCCCAACGTTACTTAGGGTTTAGGTAACACAAAACGGAGGCGAGAACTTGGTTGCGTGTGGGAGTTAGGGTTTTGGAGATCTAGAGTTACACGAACTATTCGCCCACTCGAAATCCTTGCCGTAGCGAATACTTTAGGGTTCGGAACTGTCCCATCATGCAATTCTACGACGGTGACGGGCGTCCCGTCCCTTTCGGGGGCGGGAGGGTTGAGGGTGGCGGGCTCCAGAGCGATGCCATTCCTGGAGCATCTCTGACAGGCCTCCCTCTCCCTAGAGGCCGCCAGAGTTTTGCATTGGCGAGCGGTGTCCGTGCGGATGAGGGGGGAGAGGACGATGACTTCCTGGAAGAGGTGGAGGCGGGCGATGCAGGAGGGGGGGAGCATGGGGCAACCCATGGGGGGGGGAACGGTGGGCAGGGTGGTGGAGAGGGGGGGGGGGGGCGAGGGTGACCAGGAGTGGCATCCCAATGCGGAGGAAGAGGTGGATGAGGTGTCAGGAGATGGACCGGACAAGGGGAGGGGGAGGGGAAGGGGGAGGGGAAGGGGGAGGGGGAGGGCGAGGGGGAGGGGCAGGGGAAGGGGGAGAGGGAGGGGAAGAGGTCGCGGCCGTGGTGGACCTGGTGGGGGGAGGGCAGGGGCGATTGGTGCCGGCAGTGGCAGTAATAGTGCGGGGGAGCTGGAGGTCGGTGGTGGGGATGCAGCGCGCTTTGGGGATGCTGAGGGCGTGGGGGAGGGGGGTCATGCGGAGTGTGGTACGCCTGCGCCGGGGCGGCCTGTCATCCCACGTGGGGGGGAGGGGGCACGGGTGGACAGCATAAGCGGTCGCGAGCGAGCGACAGCTCTCAGGTGACAGTCGGTTATTGGGGTACTGTCCCTGGGCTTATGCAGGGGATGTTCTTTCAGCCAGAGGGGGAGGATGGGGCGCGATGCTGCAAGGTATGCGAGGTGCCGATCGGTTGGGGTGAGAGCAGCACTGGTTCGGCGTGGAAGCACATGCGCTCGTTCCACATGCCTCACCTACAGATCTGGTATCGCCTATTCACTGATCCCAACAAGCAGCCGGGGTTGGAGTTTCCGGCGAAGGGGTACCCGGGGGTTCCAGGCGGACCAGACCCGTGGGAGCACGCTGACGCATACCCCGACCTCCAGAGTGCGGGCACGGGCGGTTCGGGTGCGAGTGTCGATGCGGGTCAACGGCAGATCCCTCAGTTCTTCGGTCGTCGCGTCACGCAGGAGCGTCTGCGCCACGCTCTCATCGAGCTGTTCGCAGACGCGGCCCTTCCGTTTCGCCTGGTCGACTGCCCCTCGGTAAGAACTGACAGAGACAAGTTTCTAAGCACATGCGCTCGTTCACATCTGCGCATTTTCAACCTCCCACGTGTCGTTATGGATTACCACCCCGACCATGTATAGCGGCACTTCTGCACACGTCCACCTACTCCCCCCTCCCCCTCCCCTGCCCTCCCTTCCCCAGTTCCGCCGCTACACCCGCCTCCTCAATCCTCCCGCTGCAGAAATGCTCGGCTCCCGTTTCCGCCTCGCTCGCGACATGCTCGTGCAGAGCGAAGCCGCGCGTGAGCGCCAGCTGCAGGACATTGTCGGCGATGGTGCGGCAGGGAAGGTCTCCCTCACCACGGACATTTGGTCCAGCCCGGCGCAAGATGCTTTCCTTGCCGTCACAGCGCACTGGATCACGACAGACTTTCAGCTGCGTCAGGCGCTGCTAGAGTTTGAGGAGATTCAGGGATCGCACACCGGGGTGCTGATTGCAGAGACATTGGAGAAAGTCATACTGGATTGGGGGCTGAAGGACTCTGTGCTGGGCATCACGACGGACAATGCCGAGAACAACATCAAGGCGCTCAAGATACTGACTGGCGACCCGGAGACCGAGGACGCCCGCAACCCACCAGTGTTGAACCCCGGATTCTTCTTCAGGTGTGTGGTGCATGACATGCCATGCCATGCCATGACATGCCATGCCATGAGATGACATGCCATGCCATGACATGCCTGGCCATGCCTTGCCATGACATGACATGACATGACATGCCATGCCATTACATGACATGACATGACATGCCATGACGTCCCATGCCATGCCATGCCATGCCATGACATGCCATGACATGCCATGACATGCCATGCCATGCCATGCCATGACATGCCATGACATGCCTTGACATGACATGACATGACATGACATGACATGCCATGCCATGCCATGCCATGACATGCCATGACGTGCCATGCCATGCCATGCCATGCCATGCCATGACATGCCATGACGTGCCATGCCATGCCATGCCATGCCATGACATGCCATGACATGACATGACATGCCATGACGTGCCATGCCATGCCATGCCATGCCATGACATGCCATGACATGCCATGACATGCCATGCCATGCCATGCCATGACATGCCATGACATGCCTTGACATGACATGACATGACATGACATGCCATGCCATGCCATGCCATGCCATGCCATGCCATGCCATGCCACGCCATGCCTTGACATGCCATGCCATGCCATGCCATGCCATGCCATGCCATGCCATACCATGTCGTGCCATGCAATGGACTTTCCCCCTTCAGGTGTCTGGCGCACATTCTGAACCTCGCGGTCCAGAAGGCACTTGGTGTCCCAGCAGTCCTCGAGCCGCTCAAGCGTATGCGGGAGATTGCGTCGTTCATTGGGTGGAGCACGACGCGCTCGGACGCGTTCGAGGACGAGCAGCTGCGACTGGCGGGTCAGGGCGGCCACGTTCTCCGCCTCATCAGCGACACCCCTACGCGGTGGGGGTCGTCCTTTGAGATGGTGGAGCGCTTCCTGAAGCTGAAAGATCCTATCCTGTTGTACTTCTCAGGACTCGAGGTATGGTTCCCAATCTCCTGGGTTGCCATAATTCGCGTGCATGTTTTTATTCCATTCGGAAATGCTGACGGTCTCCCAGGTCCGCCCATGCGTATTACCCTCCCCAAATATGAGTTTCCCCCTCTGCTACTGCGTGTTCCTCTGAATCCCCCATTCCACAGTCGGCACGTGACAAGCGGACGCGCGAACAGGCTGCGCGTGTCCGCCTCGCGGACGCGCATTGGGACGCTCTGAGGGTTCTGGTGGAATTCCTCAAGCCCTTCCATGACATCACTACTGCGGCAGAGGGGTCGTTGTACCCCACTGCCGCAGCAGTGGTGCCGCAGTACAACCTGCTCATGGATGAGCTTGAGCGCCTCTACCACGACCCAAGTACCGGGGACCCGTGCAAGTTGTTGTCGGAGGCAGCTCTAAAGGTACTGAAGAAGTATGTGTACGGCATCAGCATGGAGCTGGCAGTGGCGACATTTTTGGATCCCAGGTTCAAGTAGCTGTACTTCCAGCTCGAACGGTGGGAGGGGGCCCACCCTGAGGTAGCGGGAGAGGCCGCTGGGGGGGCGTAGGGCGGTGCGCGACGTCACATTGGAGCAGGTGGTGACATGGGTCAGGGCGCGCTTGCAGTCTTACCTGGACGAGCAGAGCAGGCGTGCGGTGGACGGGGGTCAGGAGGGGACGAGCACAGGGGAGCGCGGGACGGGGGGGGGAGGAGTGTTGCCAGGGCCCGAGGTGGGGGGCGCTTGTTTGACATGCTCGGCTCGGCAATGGCAGAGGTTGAGGCGAGAACGGGAGTGGCCGCGCCGGACGAGGTTCAGAGGTACCTGCAGGAGGCGCGCTTGGACATGGACGGGTGTCCGCTGCAATGGTGGCGCACGCGCTCGTCGTACCCGGGGTTGCAGGCGATGGCACGAGACTACCTTGCCATCCCTGCAACCTCGGCACCGAGCGAGCGGGCGTTCAGCCAGGGGCGGAACGTGGTCACCTGGCAGCGTCACCGCCTGAGCACTGCTCAGGTGCGTGCATCCATGACTCTCAAGTCATGGATGGCACAGCGCGCCGACGGCAGCCTCCCACTGGCGACGTTGGATCGGGCCATGGGGGGGCTGTGCCTTGAGGGTGACGACGAGGGGTTGTGAGGCGTGGGTACAGGGTTAGCCCCTATGAACAGTTTTTCCTGTGACGTACATTCGTGTCCTTGCTTGTGCCATGCCCGGACCCAGCATTGAGCTCTAGGGCCATGCAAACATGGCATCCTGCTTGTCAAGTGATTGTGAACATACGTAGAGTGAACTGTGTGCACTTTATTCATAGTACGTATATCTACATCCAATGAAAACGACACCCGAGGAAGCAACACAAGTAAGGTGTAGCGTGGTGGTGGCAACAAACCCCCTGAAATGCATGCCAATTATTTTTTCCATGACCACATTGATGTCTCAACCCTAGGAGACAGTTAGACTAATACAGGGAAAAAAAAAAAACTAAAAAAACACATCGTTTAGGCCTTATTGAAAGGGCGGGTAGCATTACCCGCCTTTAAGCTATGCCGGGTCGGGTATACCCGGACCCGCCTGGCGGGTATTAAAATACCCGCCTAACAAAATCCGGGTCCGGGTAAGGGTCGTGAACATATTACCCGACCCGGACCCGACCCGAAATTACCCGACCCGAGGTCGGGTATAGCAAAACCGGGTCGGGTCGGGTAATTACCCGGTTTTGCTCATGCCTAGGTGGCGATGACCGTGCCTCACACCAAAAAACGTCAGGCTAATAATTCAGCAGCAGCAGTTCTGGACCATTCCAACCAAGTATTCTGAAGCGCTGGGCGCAACTTCGCATACATAACTGGGACGGACCATTCCAGCCAAATATTCCCCTCCTGTGGATGACATAGGCCCTCCCATACCAACAGTTCTGCTGGTCAGGCACGGATTTACGAGTTTGACATACAAGGCGCTGAGGTTGGTGAGGGCAGAGATGGCGCTGGGAAGAGAGCCTGAAAAACCATTGCCACTTGCAAGCCTGGGAAGAGGAAGAAGGGGGAAAGCGAAGCGGATTACTACGGTCTTGCCTTAAGTGGAGCTACATGTCAACGCTACGGTCTAGGTGCAACACAAAGGCTCTCCCCGACACACTTTTTTCTGTCCTTGTTCACAGTTGTGATGCTCATGCTTGCGCTCCTTCTATCATCTCATGTCAACACTGTCATCTCGTTGCCAAGGGTCTGAGAGGCAGATATATCTCACTCACAGTGCCTCCAGCCGTTTGAACGTCAATAATTTCGAGGGGAACGGTGAAGAGCGGTTGAATCCGGAGGGTGCAGTCACATCCCTGGCAACGAGAAAGGTGTAGACACAGGGGGGTAATTATTGCAGCTCAAGCGTGGTCGACGTTGAAGTCTGGTTGAAACAGAACAGTGGTTCGAGCTGAAGCAGTGCTCACAAATTTTCTATTAGGGAATTTGTTTTCTGGACTAGATTCGCGGGGGCTGGGGCCGCATACAAGTGATGGAGGCTGGACAGCGTCTCGATCCACGATGGCTGGCTGGTGTAGCTCAGGAAGCCCAGGTCGCTGCAGGATGGGGAGGAATGAGATGAAAAGATAAGCAGGGTTGTTTCTACTCACAACAAGCTTCTTTCTGTGCTTATCTCTCATCAATTTCGGCAGTCGTTCCCCTTGAGCAGCTGGGTTGTCGAAGCAGCAAAGAAGGAAATTACGCACACTCCGACCAAAAACTTATGGTGGTAAGGCTACTCAGGACAAGATGGCGTGATAGGGAAAGGGCAAGAACCCCCCATACTTAATTCCGGCATACAGATGTGTGAGTGAACTGAGAGTAGAGAGAGATGGAGGGAGATCTACAGTAGTCAGGTTGAGAGCTGCAAGGGATCTGGTGGGCAGATAGAGGGGCGGAACGAGCCCCAGGGAGGAGCGTATCGGGGGAGCAGAGAGGGTCAAGGGAGTGCTGGGAGGCACAGGGTAGGCACTAGTGTACCCTAGGGTTGAGCATACTACCCGCCCGGGTCGGGTACCCGGTACCCGGATCCGCTTTAGGGCGGGTCGGGTATCGGAAATCCTGAATATTACCCGGCGGGTCGGGTCCGGGTTACCCGGGCGGGTATTCAATACCCGGTACCCGAAATGCTACCCGACGCGTCGGGTAGCGGGTACCCGACCCGAAATCGGGTAGCGGTCTACCCGACGGAACCAGCGAGACATTAGTCGCGCTGGTAGAGAAATTTCATCAAGTTTCTAGGTTACATGAGCTGCTAGGTCACTTAGAGAGCATTGTAGATTGGCAGGGGTTGGGTTTCGTAGATACAGATGCATTCAGAGTGGTTGAATTGGGGGGAATTGGTTGGAAGTCAAACCAATTGAATTTCCCCAATTGAATTTGCAACCCAACCTGAATCCAGCCAACCGCACAGCACCACATTGGTTGGAGTTCCAACCAATTGACTCTGGGGGTCAAAGAATCAAACCCCCAGAAACCGCACACAACCCCATCCCAACTAGAAAACCCAACCAACTCCCCACTCAGGCCCCACTCACGACCCACTCACCACACCAGAACTGTTAAAGATTTGGCGCACCTCATACTCCCTCCCACAACTCACGTTTTTTTAAGCACTATCTAGGTCGTAGGCTTAGTAGCCCAACAGGGTAGAAAAAAGCGGGTAATACTACCCGTTTTTTAAGGAAATCGGGTCGGGTATACCCGGACCCGCCAGGCGGGTATTAAATTACCCGCCCCCAAATCCCGGGTCCGGGTATTGGTCCTGGGCATGTTACCCGACCCGTACCCGACCCGAAAATACCCGACCCGAAGTCGGGTACAGCAAAACCGGGTCGGGTCGGGTAAATACCCGGTTTTGCTCATGCCTAGTGTACCCTACTGCCCTCCTGAGCCAGCAGCGCAGCTTCTTCTGCCTATCCGCCTGTCTGCCTGCTTGTCAGTCCTGCCTAGATGGATATCTCTCTGTCTGTATGTTTCTGCGTGCCTGGGCGTGCATGCGTATGTGCGTGTGTGCGTGCGTGCGTGCGTGTGTGCGCGCATGCACGCGTGCATGCGTGTGTGCGTGTGTGTAGAGGAGCATCCAAGAGGAGATTGCTGATCGCCTCTAAGAGCAAGCACGGTCGTACATTCACAAAAGGCATGAAATTGATGGTTAAACTACGACCATGGCCAACCCCTAGGGTGTTTGGGTTGGCCACTAGCCTAATGGGGTTTGCTGGTTGGCAACCAGCCCTGAGCAACAGTATGGGTTAGGTGGCACAATCGGTCATGGTAGTAGGTAAGTGAGCCACCTTCACGAAAAAACGTGATCCAACTCATTTATGAGATATTGGTCTGACCCCAATTGGTACAGAGACCCAATGTAAACCTTCACATGGGCCTCTCTCATGCATGTTGCGTCGTAATGCAAAGGTGTGTGTGTGCAGCACTGCATACAGGTGCTCGAGTTCAGAGAGCGAGGAGAGACATGAGAGGTCGTCCATTGGCCCAACCAGGTTGAGATGCGCAAGAGAGCTGCAGCAAGGGAAGATGAACGGGGGAGGGTGGGAAGGGGGGCGATAGTACGGCATGTGTCTGGCTATGGTGGTGCAGGCGATGTAATCCAGTCCAGCAGGAATAAGGAGGCGATGTAATAAGATTAAGTAGGCAGTAGTAGGAAAGTGAGGGACGTAGAGTCACAAGGGTAAGCGAGGTACAGGTGGGAGAGTGAAGTGAGGCGACTGAAACTGGACGGAAGGCTTCCACTCAGATTGTTGAGACCAAGGTTACTGGGATGGGAAGGGTGCAGGAACAGACAAGCATGTGAACGCACATATGAAGCACTGAGACAAACACCCAAACAGACAATGGCAAACACAAACACACACACAGCCATCGACAAACACACACAAACACACAAACACTTGCAGACACATGGAATGGAACACAGATGAGCATGTAACCAGCTCGCTGATTGCCACTCCAATCGCTACGGCATGCCATCCCCCACACACCACCGAACGTAAAGGCTGGCACCTTATTATCCTTCAGCCTATCCCCACTTCCCCCTTTCCCCAACCCTCCTCCCCTCCCCTCCTGTCCCTGCCTGCCTCCCCCAAACAGGGTCCTATCTCGAGCTGCAGCGTGGCATTCCAAAGCAGGCTCTTTTGGCGCTCTCACAGGTGCACAAGGCCGCTGGCATTGCCAAGGGGAGCAGGAATCTGGCCACTCAACCCGGTGCTGCTCACGTCACTGCCATGTACGGTGGTGACAGGGAGGAGAGTACAAAACAGGTAGGCGAGTGGGAAGCAGGAAGGAGAGTGCGGAACATGTGGGAGATTGACAAGCAGGAACGAGAGAGAGGTTGGCCCTGGGGACCATGGAAGGCAACCTGGATCGCTCATTCACTGACACAATGAAGGGTTGGAGAAAAATGAACTAGCGCCAGTGGGGTATTCATCAGGAATGGGGAAGCTCGACCAAGTGGGAAGTTTGTGGGTCGCCAATTCGATCAGTGCCAAGACGGGGTTGGCATTCCACACTAAAGGTCCCACGAAATCTACAACTGGAAAAGCATCGCCTCACTAGTGCCAGATTTCAGCCAAACGTCTTACGGCACTCTTACAGGCGTGACAGGTTGGTGGCACTGCCAATGGAAGCAGGGATCTCGCCACTGAGTTGAGTGTTGCTCACATCACTGCCATGTGCGGTGGTGGGACAGAAGGGGGTAAAAAAAACTTAGAGAAGGAACCTACGACCAGGTTCACACGAACTTCCGGGAATAGCAATTTGAAAGGCAAAGGGCCGTACACATATTCCAAGGAGGGCAGGAAGCCAAGAAACTCCACAGTGCCGTTGAGACGGTTGTGAGACAGGTTGCTGCCAGAGAGTGGGGTCAAAAGCACGGCGAGACATAAGGGGAAATCCGTTTGCGGTTGCGGCAGGGCAAGGCAAGATGAACCAGCGATCCCAGGAGGCAATGCAGGAAAGAAAAGGTCTCTGACTAAAAAGATCATGTGCCAGACACGGGTGTTCTGTGCGTTCCATGGCTGATAGGGCATGGCATGAGTGAGGGGGCATGGCATGGGTGGGAGGGCATGGCACGGGTGAGGGGGCATGGCATGGTTGGGAGCAAGGTTAAACGGCTGTCGTGTATTACAGATCGTATTATACAACCGTTTTCCGGTCATTTAGGGGGAGAAAAATCCGTATTTGAAATAGAACATTCCATAACTTCTTTTTGTGTGTAGAAGGCCTAAAGCTCGGCCAGATCCGTGCATTTCGGCAGGCAAAATGCCAGATCCGCGCATACTTTTCTGCGAAAACACGACAACCGGAACATTCTGGCAGGCGAAATGCCAATTCCGGGCATTTCTCCGGTTATGATCACCCCCAAAAAAGAAGAAAAAAATAAAAGAAAGGAAAATAAAAAAACGGCAGTGTTTTTTAACCAGACCAGAGAATATACAACATTGACCACATTCCTCGGAATTATACGACGGTATGATTTGGTACCGTACCATAAGCTAAGATAATGAAAAAAAAAAAAAAAAAAAAAAAAAAAAAAACTGAATCCTATAACGGGGCATGGCATAGGTGGGAGCGCATGGCATGGGTGAGGGCACATGGCATGGCATGGGTAAGGAGGCATGGCATGGCATGGGTGAGGGGGCATGGCATGGCATGGGTGAGGGGGCATCGCATGGCATGAGTGAGAGGGCATGGCATGATATGGCATGGTGAGAGGACATGGCACGCGTGAGAGGGCATGGCTGACAGTTCTCGCAGGGAGGTGAGGTTCTTCAACGCGTCCTTAGGGATGGAGCCATGCAGGTTGCTGTTCTCAAGATCTCTGGCAGTGCCATCCAAGGGAGCAGCGTGGAGGAAGGGTGGTGGGGAGGACAAGCGAAGACGGAAGGGCAGAGCAGAAAAAGTGCGAAGAGGGAGACGAAATGATAAGGGTGGAGACGCAGAGAAGGTGTTAAGGGAGGTGGACGGCAGAACAGGGAGGACGGTGAGGGGGTTGAGCAAGGTAGAGAAGGGCAAGAATCACTGAAAAGAAGATGGCAATAGAGGGGAGGGACGGATGGTGTGAAAAGGGCTGGAAGCAGGCAGTGAACGGAGGAAAGAAGGGGACAGATGGGGGGAATTGGAGGCGGGTCAAAGATTGTTGTAGTACGACGGGGGAAGTATGAAAATCCTTTATGTGTGAACGACCTCCCCCAAGTCAGGGTTGGAAGGAAACGAGCAGCGGGATACTGCTGTGGATGTGGGCTCACAAGAATTGGAGGGCCGTGAAAGCGCCGATGGCCGGAGCCGAGGGAGGCCGCCCATTAAACTGAACGTAGCAAAACTTGAAAAAAGGTCTCTGAGTGACGGGGGCAGGGAGGTGAGTCATGTTCAAGGCTTGTGGTCCGGGCAGCAAACAAGAGAATGCATACAAGGTAGAGCGGGTGTGACGGTTTGGAGGGAGAATGCAGAGAAGGGAGAGCGGGTGTGACGGGTTGGAGGGAGAATGCAGATAATACGAGGTAAGGAATTACGAGGTGAGCCCTTACCCGCTGCAACCGCAGCCGCGTTTGTCTTGACCGTCGCGTCGAGCATGAGGCCGTAGATCCTGCCCATAAGCAGAGATCTACGGTCGACAGCCCTCAGCACCTCATACACCGGCTTCATGAGGGCAAGGACCGCCGCCACCCCCTCCCAAAAGGTGTCCTCCAGCAGTAGCTTCTTGATATTTTTCCCCTCCTTTGTCTTGGAAACGGCCACCCCCTTCCACTCCTCAGAGATCACCATCCGCATCATGGCTGACTTGACCTCCAAAAAACGGGTTATCATTATCACCTGAGTGCCGAAACGGGTAGTCCCCGGGCGGACCAGCTCGAGCTCACTAAACACCTTTCGAAAGAGGGTTACAGCGCTCGAGCTGTTCTTCACGAGCATCACGCAGCGGTGTGCCTGAAACAGCACCTGCTCGATGATGTCTAGCGCGCCCAAGTCCTGGAGCATAAGATCCAGACAGTGGGCTGCGCAGTTCGTGAAGAAAACCCGGGGAAAACCATCCGCCAACTCCAGCGCCGCCCTTCGGTTATTGCTCGCGTTGTCCATGACAACCTGGACAACCGAGCTATCACCGATCTTGCAGATGGCGGATCTAATCAAACCCGCCAAGAAAACTCCGGTTTTCTTGGCGGTTTTTGAGTCCACCACCTCGACCAGAACAGGGGCCGTGTCGTTCTGGGCAATAAGACACACGAGGCTCCTACTCCTCAGATCCGACCACCCATCAACCGACAGGGTGCACCCCACGGTCTTCCAGGTATCCTTGAGGGGCTGGACTAGCGCGTCAGAGTCGGCCTTCAGCCTCTTCAGCAAGGGGCCGCCGACCTTGTATGCGGAGGGAAGGTCATAGGGCTTCCCATAGGCGACAGCAGCGTCCACAAAGGCCTGAACGGCCTTGGACCTGCAAGTAGGGCAAGTGGCGGGTTAGGTTTGCTTAGTGGTTCTTCTCTGCCGAATTCAATGCATGCGCATGCTTGAAAGGTGACAAACAGCAGATCAATGAACAACACAACGGGAATACATACCTTGAAGACCAGAACGACCAATCGTTCTCTGCCACCGCGCATGCCCATAGGTAGTCTAGGTGGTCGCGCGCCTTAGGGTCAACGAGGTCGCGAATGTCGCGCTGTCGAGGCCGGCTTTGCCGTTCCCCCCCAATCTTTGATGCGGAGCCAGGCGCCGCTGTGGAGCAGGTAGAGCTGCGCTCCGCCTTGGCCGTGGCGCGAAGATTCCTGCGAATTCCGACTGGCATTCAGCCACGTTCTTGAATTTCGTCGCGGGCGTTCCGTATAGGTGCTCGCCTATCCTGGTTGCACTGTTACTAAGCGCCGATTCGCAATGGAGGCATTCGATTCGGAGGACCTTGCCGTCCTCGCCCCTAACTCGGCGGACGTGTTCCCACATGCGGGACACCGCCCTGCCCATGTCTGCGACGCTGTCTAAATACGCCGGAAACAGGTCGGAGGTGTTTTAAGTCAGCGATGTCAAGGAAATCTGGAGTTGCTATGCGGTAGAGTAAACTGGCTTAGATTTCAGCTAGAAAAACGCTCCAAACTAAGTCCTATGGCAGCTTACAAAACGTCCTACGTATTTGTATCTCACGCACTTCGAATTTGGGTTGAGAAAGGCTTCGAAGAGAACCCAAATCCATTGGGTTCTGTTTTCGAAATGCGCTTCGGCAGGGGGGTTTCGCAAAATGCGCGAAACCACCCTACTGGGCACGAAAAGAACCAACGGGTTTCGCTAAGGGGGGGTTCTTTCGTAACGAAAGAAACCCCCCCCTTTCGCGAAACCCGTTGGTTATTTCGCACCCAGTAGGGTGGTCTCGTGCAATTTGCGAAACCACCCTGTCGAAGCGTGTTTCAAAAACAGAACCCAATGGATTTTGGTTCTCTTAGAAGCCTTTCTCAACCCAACTTCGAAGTGTGTGAGATACAAATACAGAGGACGTTTTCTAAGCTACCACAGGACGTAGTTTGGAGCGTTTTTCTGGCTGGAATCTAAGCCAGTTTACACTACCGCCTAGCAACTCCAGATTTCCATGTTTGTAGGTGCCATGGAGCATTACTAACCATTCAGTTGACGTTGAAACCGCATAGGACCCATTCCCCTTCGGAAAAAAAAAACCATGTGCTCTATTTAAATTACACCGTTTTTTTCCCGAACTGCCCGAAAAAAACGGTCGTAATTTACGGACCTTATTATTCGAAAACCGTAATTTTGAACCTTGGAGGGGAGGGGGGAGGGAAGAAACGGACGAGGGTAGGATTCGACAGGAGAGGACGGTTGGCCTTTGGTGCATTCAGTGAGGAAGGCGAAAGAAGAGAGAAAGAGTGAGGGTGCGGTGGAGGGTCGAAGGGGGGATGGACCGTTTTGGGGCTGGCGGGTGGTGGGGGGTGTGGGGGAAACGGAAGATGGCAAGAATGAGGGATAAAGGGAGGAAATTCCATGCACGCAACCAATTTACAAGACCCAATTCCCGCAATAAACAGCAGGGCACTTATACCGGGGTACGAACTCACATTGCGAGGGTGCGAGCTTGACGCCCGACCCCTCCGGCGGCGGCGTTGCTACTAAGGCGGCTGGCTCACGCAGGCGACGAGCCACGGACGACGGACGCCGGTCCGTGACAAACGAGGCCGCAGTTTGCGGTACTGGTGACAGGCCACGTGCGGTTACCAGCCCGTTAGTACGGGCGTGGACGATGGTGGCCGAGAGAAGCAAGGCGAGCAGCAGCGTGCAGCGAAGGTAGAGGTCCGGCGGCAGATTCAGCGCCATGATGGTCGGAGGAAAGGCTTGCGGAACAAGGGTGCGAGATAGACGTAAGTTCCACGAACGCGAGAACAGGTTGCACGGAAAGCAGATAACAAGATCTGGTGTGACGAGCGGAGGTCGAAAGCTGGAAGACGAGGTGCGAGTTGAGGCGAGGGAGGAGTTTGGAGGTAGAGAGAAAGGAACACCACACGCCGTACCGTGGACTCTTACGGAAGCTTGCTGCTGGATGCATAGCTTTGACTTGCAGAAACCTGGCCAAACCAGCGTTGACAAGGAAGGAGGATAGTACGACGGCGGTCGTTTCGTAAGCAGCTAGCTGCTCTCCACAAAAAATTGCGAGGAAACCATAAGAACGAAACCAGCGATATGCCAGAGGCAACATCAGTGGAGAGAGACCTCTGCTGGAATGTGCGTGAATCCCTGGCCAGCGGAGCAACATCATTTGCTGCACCTGAACAAAGATGGATCGTGTAGTTCCTAAATTCGAATCTTTTATTATGTCAAGAAATCACAATTCGTTACTGAGGCTCGCCATAGCGAGAAACGTGAACAGTTCGCTTCAGGGCGTGTCCAGCGGGTTCATTTCGCCCCAACACGCTGAAATATTTATTCGCCAAGTGTGAATGTGTTGAGGTACACCCACCGTATCAACAGCAAAACGCGCGGACACGAGCCCCTCCCGTGGCTCGACAAATGAGCGGGTGCGCAGCGCGCACATAACAGACTGAGACGCGAAAACAGCAGGGTAACCGAATTTCGCTCCGAGAAAAAGGCCCCGCCCGGGAGGGCGAACACGCATTACGAGCCTGGCGAATACAAGGGTTCTATCTTTCGCCAACCAGGATTTGGACGTTTCTGCCATGTACATAATTTGCGCACGATTTTCATTTGGTTCGGAAACGTGTGGCTCACGTCTGTGGGCACGTTTGGAGGGTGTCCGCCAAAACCGTCAACTTATCGTGCGTGTCCGAATGGACACGAAATTTCGGGTTATCAGGTCGAAACTTTGTACCTGATATGCAAAGTGAATAGTAAACGAACGCGCTGGACACGCCCTCAGCAGCCTCAGCCTTCAAGTCTCGCGTCATACCTCCCCTCTTCGTCAACCTGTTAAAGCCCAGGTCCCAAGTTACAAGACTCGGTTGGTTTTGCTAGCAAAGTCTGGGCGTGTAAGGAAATTCCCTTTTTCCTTACTGGGCTCGACTATTGCGCGTACGCCCTCGACTCTCGGAAGTCCAGGCTCGGCCAACTTCTTCGGTCCCGAACCACTTTGCGAACCCAAACCTAGACCACGGCACTTCCGTAGCTTTCGCCAACCGGACCGCCCCAACCTGTTCGCGTGGTTTTCGGCTAGCTCTGTTCGTGCCTATAAATGCCTAGGCCCTCATTTGTATCGACACTCTTGAATCACGACTCCTTTATTACACTGCCTGTGCTTACTCTGATTAATTCATAACAGCTAGTACCAGAGCCCCGTTCCTGCCCGCTTAGTCTTCCGTATAGTAGTTCGTTTATATCGGGAGAGGACCCGACAGAATAGAGGGTTGGCCTGCGGTTAGTAGGTGAACTCGTTAAAGCTCCTCCAACTAGAAGCGTGTGCACCCTCAAATCAGTCATGTAAAATTTCCAACATGCCTACCACGCCGGAAACCTCTGCCCGTCGTAGTGTCAGGAACGTGACTCATGAGGAGTTTGACGAGTTGCAAGCTAGGGCGGCTACAATGACAACACTGCAGCCCCAGCTTCAACAACTCGCCGAGAAGTTTGAGATGCTGAAAAGCGAAGTGTAGATGCCGCGCAATGAAAACTTGTCGCTTCGCCAGGCGCGGGATGAAACGCGTCAGGGGTGGCCTGTTACCTGAGACGAAGATGCTGCGAGCGAAGCGATGGCGTCAACGACACCTGAAGCAGTTGAAGAAGTCCACAGCGATCCAATGCCACGACTGTTCAACCCGACTGACAGAACGACTACACGGAGCGGTTGGTTGTTCGCCATGGAAATCTTCTTCACAGCAGCAAGTATTAATGACAACGCGTTATGCGTCAACTTGACTGTGTCGTTGCTGAGGGGACCGGCACTCGACTGGTGACGCATGCATCTCGATGAGGGAGGAGCCCTGGCAGGGAATCAACGGGCGGTAGATGGAGAGCACCGTTCATCAACGACTCATGCAGAACCGATCTTTAGGTTGCCCACGGTCCGCACATGGAAAGCGTGGGGCGAAGCATTGAAAAGCCGATTCGAGCACATATCCAAGCGCGAAAACGCTCGCACAAGGCTTCGGATGTGGAGACAATTGAGCTCTGTCCAATAATACACGGCTTCGTTTTTTGCGCTATGCGATCAAATCGGAGGGCTTTGCGAAGACGAGCGAATCGATTGCTACGTGAGTGGTCTAAAGCCACAAATTCAACATGAGATTGTCCTGCAAGCCCCGGCGACATTCAACGAGTTTGTCCGAATCACGGATGCGTTAGACGCAAGGCGTGGACTCGCGAGGGCAGGTTTCAGGGAGGGAAATCGCTTTCGAGGCCAGCCACTACACGCATCAATCAACGGCGTGGACATGTCTGCAGCCCGGGTATTTTCCAAATGTTGCTTCCACTACAAACCAGCCGGGTCACATGGTGAAGGACTGCCCACAGCTGAAGAAGAAATTAGCTAATGACGGGAAGCAGTCGGGAAATGGAGATCGTCAGTAGCTGATGGGCCACCTACTGACTTGACTGTGTCACCCAAACGCCAACACCCCCACCCGGTTGTAGTGCTGATTTGGGCTATCGACCATTCCTGGCTGAGTTGGTGCAAACGACTGACAGCTTGAGATGTATCTCTGAGTTGACACCAAAACTCTGAGCTGGTGCAAACGCTTGAGATACCAAAACATTGGGAATACGACTGACTCAGCCATGAATTATTGGATATATTGTTGGCATGATAATGTTGAAAACGAATATGTAGATTGCTTGCTCGCAATGATATGGTTGAGGCAAACCAACACATCAATAGTAGATTTTTTATTCGTGCATGTGGGTACCACATGCGAAGCCAAGCTAGTAGAGTACAAGTCATATTCGAACATCGCAAACTCCGCTAAGCATCATTTAGTGTATTAAGCGAATAAGTGGCCCGTGGTTTACTGTAATAAAGCACAAAGAGTGTGTGTCGAAGGATTGATTAACGAGGAAATAATACAACCGAAGCAACATAAAAAAAATAGGGAGCATAGATATAGCTAGCCTAGGAGCATACGGTCGTGGCTCAGCAGAGCTGTGATGTGTGGTTCGTAAATTGGCGCAAAGCGCCCAGATCTAGGCATGCAATAACAAGGCGTGCAATAATGGATGCGGCTCGTCAGGAGATCACATTTGGGACCGCGATTTGAATTCGTGGCAGGACTGCACAGCAACCCCATTATAGCAATGTACGCCTTGCTGAGTAAACCCCGTGATAAGGAAATACCATTTCCTTACACCCTCCCCCCTCCAAGGTATGGTCTTAGCTAAGACCGCTGACGTCACGCACATTGCGTGACTGGAGGTAAACTCGTAATACCGGGTAATTCTCGATTTGTGCCAGGTGCACCCAATTGTTTTCCAAGGCCGTCCGGTCCTTCCAAGATATCAGAAACTCGATCATGTGAGGCCCTCGAGGATCCTTGATCCGATTGCTGAGAACCTTTGCAGGCTCGACAGTAGGCTTGGCAAGCGGTTGGATGTTCAGGTTTGCTCGGTGTCGTGGTAGCTTACTGGTGCTAGTGATGTATGGTCGAATTAATTGCACGTGGAATGATGGGCTGTCGTTTCAGGTGGCTGGTAGTAGTAGATGGGCTGTAACAGAAGATATCATGTGGTTAATGGCAAATGGTCCACTGTAGCGGGGGTGGAGTTTTGGGACGATGGGCAGTCGAAAATTTCTGAGTGTCGAGCAGTACTAAGTCTCCAACCTGGTAAGTGACTGCTCTTCCATGTAGATCGGCGTTGCGCTTAGAAATTACATTCGCGCGCTTAATGGCTCCGGTTGCTCGCTTCTGAGCATTCTGTAATATTTCGACAAACTGTTGGGCTCGTGGTACTGGATTTTCGATGTTGGGCGTGATCGGTACTATAGGGCTCTACCCCTAGTTCAGGTAGAATGGTGACTATCGTGTAGTGGCTGACGGGGCGTTATTATACGCGAACTCAATCAGTGGCAGTTGCTGCTCCCAGTTGGCCACGTCATCGCAGGTGGCGCGAATCAGCTGCTCCATCGTCTGATTGGCCTGTTCGATCTGTCCGTCAGTCTCGGGATGGTAGGCGGAGGAGAACTGCCCGCGCGTGCCAAACTGTTCCCAGAGGTTGCGCCAAAAGCTACTGGTGAATTTTGTGTCACGATCCGAAATGATGGCGGATGGGATTCCATGGAGGCGAACGACGGTCGAGATGAAGAGTCGGGTTGTTTCTTCGGTTGAGATGCTTTTCTTGCAAGCAGCGAAGTGGGCCATCTTTGTCATTTTATCGACGATGACAAATTGCGTCATTAGAGCCATCCTTGGCAGGCAATCCCGTGACGAAATCCATCGTCACTTGTTGCCACACGCACTCAAGCGGCGGAATTGGCTACAACTGTCCTACTGGCTTCTACTTCGATGATTTCATGGTTTGGCAGGTTCTGCATGAAACCACATGTCGCTGCACATCCCTTTGCATGTCGGGCCACAAATAGTATCTGGACAACTGCTGCCAGGTTTTCTCTACTCCGAAGTGCCCCGAAACGGTATTGTCGTAAGCTTCATGTAAGAGTTATTCCCGTAATAGGCTGAACTCTGGTACCCAAATGCGGTCAGTCCATGTCTTTTGTTGCTAGTGGGGTCTCATCGACAAGTCGGGCGTCAATCTCCGGTAGACACCTACTGTATCTAAGGGTAGCTTCATATTTTTGGCCGTGGTGAGGTTGATCTGGCTGTGGCTGGCTCTCTCGTCTGCACCATCCTCCGCTGCACCATCCTTATTCAGCCGAGTTTGGTCGATTGCGTGGATCGGTACTTGTACTCGATGAGGGTCCTCGGTCACGGGCGAGCGGGTTCCATCAGTTGTAGGCCTGTTAACTACAGATAGTAGTAAGTGTTCCCCTGATTGCTGGAACTCTCCTGCCCCTGATTCCGCTTCTTTTGCTCCTCTGGGCATTATGACTTGCGGTGTCCCAGCCTGTTACACCCGAGACAACGACCCTTAAAGTCTGTAACTGCTGAGTTCGATGCTGTAACAGCGTATACAGTGGCACACTCGATTGGTCCCCGAGTGCGACTTCCGTCATAGGAACCCGTCCTTGGCTTGAAGAATGAATCCAACCGCTCTAC